CGGCACTCCGTAAGATTTTGCAAGAAAACTGTCGATAATAGTCCTTTTATCATCCTGATCTCTTTTTTGTTCTGTAATAGAGATTACATCCCGTAAAGTTCTTGGGAATCCCTCGAGTAAAATTTGAAGCATAAAATATTTTTTATTTGTTACCTACAATATTCCCTAAACAAAATGCAATAATTGGACGGTGTATTCACGTTGGGTACACGTGAAAAAGCCAGTGACTATTGCTTAATCCTTGCAAATCTTGGCCAATTTTCTTGTCATAGCCTTTACCAGTGTTCCTTATCTACCCAGGTATTCCAACAAGCAATCTCCACACCAACCTATGATAAGTGTTTATCTCTTGCCGAACTGCTCCAACTATTCCTATTGAAAACCGTGATGGTTCTTCCATCCTTTCTTTAAAACCACAGTAATTTCCGTGGAACCATAGCCGTTACCTGCACCTTTGGGGCTGATTCTATCCAAACATATCACATTCATTCTTCATCAAAGGATGGATTAGGCGTTAAAGGAAAGTAGGCGCTGAAGGAATAGAAAGGTATATAGGAAGAGCGCTATACAATATTACAAAATAATTGGTGGTAAGTTTTCTACTTAGAAAATCAATAGAGTCTGGGCTGGTGGCTGCATTTTAAATAGATAGTTAAACTTACAATTGCTTATTGTGAACAACCAGGACAGCTAAAATTGAACATTACATACAAAATGTAAAGAAGCATTGCGGAGAAAACACATAGGATTACGATGCCGATGGTTCTTGTCGCTGATCCTTTCGGACTGGTAATGATCATTGTCAATGCGATCAAAAGAATTACGAAGACGAGTGCGAACATAGTTAGCTATTGTTCATGAAAAGCCCGGCATTAAAGTACCAGGTGGCCATCGATGCGTGGTTTCGCTGGGGATGATGTTTCATGACCTTTTGCATAGGTTAAATATAAGTCATTAACAAGGATCAAGAGTACATGGTCAGAAGAGCTTCCTAATGTTGGCCGACATAGCTTACTTTTCCTTGAAATGCTGGTGGATGAT